AGAACTGAGCCTCCTGAGCAAAGAACATGGGCCGTTGAATTTTGATTAATCAGCTACAATTATTATAACTTTTAGAGGAGCTCCCTGTTTATAGCCATTGGATTAAAATCAACTGTCCAAGTTCTTTGCTCAGGAGGCTCAACCTCTAAGCTTAGGAGAGGATCCAAATCCCTATAACAAAATGAATAAATTATAAAAAAATAAAAATAAAATAACAAGAGTTCTTGTTTATTATTTGTTTTGTACCTCTTAATCTTAATAAATAAGAGATGTGGTACTATACTTATTAAATTAATAATTTATATGTGATGAATTATTATTGTGGTTAGAACTTCCTCTTTGATGCGCTGTGTTTCAAATTTAAACTTTTTTCACTTTAATTGTAAATTAATATAAAATATTGTTTGTATTAAAAAAAACTCGCTCGACCATTCGTATTTGGGATCAGGCCCAAAGTCTACTGCAGGCCTTGATTGCTTTTACATGATTGGGCTCATGACGACGTGGGAACAACAAATTACTTGAAACCCGAATTCTGAAACCATATCCGTTTCCCAAAACGGGTTTTTTACAGCGTGCGAGTGAGAGCTCCTAGAGAAGAAGAACCAATCCGACTCGGAGCTTTCAAATCGCAGAGAGAGAGAGAGAGAGAGAGAGAGAGAGAGAGAGAGAGAGAGATAGAGAGAGGATTCGAAAACATGTTCCTGCGAGCAATCGGACGGCCGTTGTTGGCCAGGGTGAAGCAGACGACGGGGATTGTAGGGCTGGACGTGGTCCCCAATGCGAGGGAGGTCCTAATCGAGCTCTACTCCAAAACCCTAAAGGAGGTCCAGGCGGTCCCCGAGGACGAAGGCTACCGCAAGGCCGTCGAGAGCTTCACACGCCACCGCCTCAATGTCTGCCGCGAAGAGGAGGACTGGGAGGTCATCGAGAAGAAGCTCGGCTGCGGTCAGGTCGAGGAGCTGATCGAGGAGGCGCGCGACGAGCTTACTCTCATCGGCAAGATGATCGGTCAGTATAATATATTATTTTTATTGCTGGTTTTGGTAATTGATTTATTTAGTTTTTTCTCGTTTTTGAAAGAAATGAAATTGAAAATGGTTATTTGTGTTTTGGGATTGACATTGGCCATGAAAATTGAAATTTAGCTAAGAAATGTGGTTTTATGTTGGGAAATTGAGTGCTTGTTTGTGATTTCGACATTTTTGCTTAGTTTAGTTGATGAGAAATCGAAAAGTAATCGAATTGGAATTAGAAATTTTGGTGATTCATCTGGCCTGTGTAGTTTTGTTTTGTGATGATAACTTAATAAGTTGTTCATTTCTAGTAGTGGAAATTAGGGGAAAAGTGAGCGAAGTTCATAAATTTTTTAGCAGTCGGGTTTTTTGTTTACTACGTCAAGAAACGAAAGGTGGGTACTTGATTTTATCAGTTCCGAAGAAACTATGATTGCCCGAGAATGCTGGTTGTTAATGCATATCATATGAGGTGGTTAAAGAAGAAAAAAGAGGCTGGCAGGGGGCGGGTGGTGGTTGCGGTTAATGGACACAATTGAATCCAAGTTCAAGTGGAACATATAATAAGCAAATATGTTTTCTTCACCTTGAAGCATTTCAAACTCTCGTTCAATGTCCAAAGTAGGAATCTTTGTTTGTGTGAACTGTGAACTATGGTTTTTACTAGCCATTGTGTACTTGCATGCTTCAGTTAATGCTGATTTTTTGGTTCTTCCGTCTCAGAGTTTTATCATTCTGATGATCAAACTGATGTCTTTCTGTTGCCTTTGTATGAAGTTCTTTTTTGACCTGACATTTTGAAATACAATATACAATGGATTGTTTGTAATAGTTTGCGTTCTGTATTGACTTGCATTGCAGAGTGGGATCCATGGGGTGTTCCTGATGATTACGAATGTGAGGTGATCGAGAACGATGCTCCAGTTCCCAAACATGTTCCTCTGCACCGACCTGGTCCTCTTCCTGAGGAGTTTTACAAAACGCTGGAAGGACTTACTACAAACCAACCAAAGTTGGATGAGGCTAAAGTCACCTCTATTGGTTCAGAAGCAAAGGAGTAAACCATTCGTCGGCATATGCTTCTAGGTACTCTGGATTCCAGATTTGAATTGACGTCTTTTTTCTTGTATTCTCTCCTGTTTATTGCTGGTGACAATGCCTGTTTGCTGGGCTGTATAAATTTTAATCATGGGAGGAACGCTTGAATTTTTCGATTTCTGCACTTGATACCATTTAGATGCTGTTTACTTAAGTTCCGTCCTTGATTCCCATTGAGAATGAATAATGTAACACAGTTTTAGCTCTTCGAGTATTGGCATTGGGATTGTTCGTGGTTCTGGCATTATGAACGATCTCTGGTTCTTGATTTGGATCACACAATTGCATAGTTATAAACTCTTTGTTGTGGCTTTCTGAATTCTTGTAATTTTACGTATTAAAACAACCAGAAAGCTCCTCTGCTGCATATACGTATATACTTAGATGCGCGTATGGAGGCGTTACACGTTGTATTGAGGAGACCGAATGCCACAGCTAACTTCTCACTATGACATAATGAATCTTCATAGTCCGATACGGGTATCCTCTCTTCTTCAACTCCCTAAACCCCCCCTTCTTTAATCCCCTCTCTCTCATTGCCTGTCGTGTACTTTTGGCTAAATCCGGCTGACCAGAATCATCGTACAAACTTGCAAGCAGCACGTAAAATGCTGGATCAGACGGGTCAAGCTCCATCCCTCGCCTTGCTGTATATTCCCCGGGAGCAATGTTTTTATCTCCGTAAACGCTCTCAAACCATCTTCTATGAGGTCAGAAAACATTTCGTGTGCACATCAACTCCTGCACCTCCGGCACAAGTATCATCCTCCAAGCATTGATCACCCGCGAATGAATCCAAGCTCGACCGCATATGTATGGATTCGAGTCCTGTAATCCAACTCTCCCAACGATGAGCATGATTTAGGCCACTGGAGAGCGTAAACTCGTTGGTGGCACTGCCCGGAAACAATCATCGAATCGAAGAATTCAAGCGAGACGTAATAGTGTCCGTTCCTGACATAAGCAGACAGCTCCCCAGTGCCAATACTCAAGCGAGACGTGATAGTGTCGTCGTCAAGACGCGGGTTGGTAATTGCACTGCGGACACAGATGCCCCCTAGCAGGGACTCTGAGTTGCACGCGGAAAGAACGCGGAGGCAACTTTCTTTGAAACAGTTGACTTCATTTGTGTTGACAACGAGCCTGGTGACTTCTGCTAGAGACATCAAAGTTCAGAACCTTCTGGTGTAGTTAAGTTTGAGGGAGGAAAAGACTAAACAGCACGTGACGGTTTGACTGTCACACTTAGTAGAAAACTAACGGTATTATATAGGAGAAATTTTTGAACGTGACAAAAACACAACCGGTATACCAGGTGTCATAATAATCAGGCTACGCTACTCGCCACCTCGGTTGCCAACATGGCATTTGCTGAATTTTAGTATATTGGGATAATGATCGGTGCAGGTCAATGGTCGTTGTTGTTGAATTTAGTCATGGACAAAGGGAAGCTTCCTTTCTCAAAGATTGGGTTGCTGGTATATGAATATGGAAGCTACCACGAAAACTTATATCTGAAAAATTATGTTCCTTTTTGCTTTGCTTTATATAATACGTGCGAAAACCTTGCATAGAGATATTTTTATAATAAGGGTGTGCTATGCGCAACGACACAATATAACATGAGACATTAATTTTAACAATATACCACTTCATGCCAAACGTTTTTTATATTATCGTATATAACGCTTTACTTCAGTGACGAAAAATAATTCTGTTTATATACTTTGGTTCTTATTAGATGCCCACCTGCCCAAATAAAGAGTTGACTTGTCTAATAGTATAGATTGTATTCATTTGAGCGCATCCTGGGATTGGGAGTAAATAAAAGTAGATGGAAACATGGAAGCTGCTAAGAAAAGTACAAGAAGTTGCCTTCCTTGTTTGGTTTTTCTTGGAAAAATACTTTCCCACCGGAAGCAACAAAAAGATAACGAATTTGTGTGGTGCCACTGAAACCAAAATATAACAACTGTATCAAAACACCATAGGAGTTCAATTGGAGAAATAAACTCCTCATCAATCTACTTGTCGCGCTACATTTAATTTTTTGTTGTGAATCTTGTTTGATACTCTTTTCTCATTGCAAAGTCACTAACTTAACCAAGGAGCTTCTATATAGACCTTTGTATAGAGATGATCTACACGAGGTGGAGCCAGCGTTAGGTCGGATGTGATTAAAATATAGAGAATCTCGTACTAATTTCGAATATAGATTTTTCTTGTAGACTAGATTTGGCTAAATTAGCTAGAGTAATATGCTCCACCTTCTTAGCCAAATTCAAATCTCCCTGTCTATTTTTCAAAGGTAAACTACTGCTTGACTACATAAATTCTTAGTCTATTACCCCAGTTGAAATTGACATTCTAAATTAATTTTTGGTAAATTAACTCCCTAAACCATTTGAAATCAGTTAGTTAACCCTCACCGTACGGTTCGATAAAAAATTCGTCAACTTTGTTAGAAAGTACTGGCACGACTTTACTCTCAAGAATAAATCACACGCCAGTATTTAATGACAAAGTACATGAATTTCATTAAAATCTAACGATAATGGATTAATTGGTTAATTTCAAATAATTAAAAACCAAAGAAAGTAAATCAAGAGGTCAGTTGCAAGCTAGTAATAATTCAAGGGTTAAACGACCCTTTTTTTTTTTTCTTTCAACGGAGTCAAAGACTTCATCAAAGTCTCCCTGGAACGTTCATAGATTCTTCTTCTTAAAAAAAAAAAAAATATATATATATGTATGTATTGGTGGGAACTACATAGGGCCGAAGCCCAAAGGCCCAAAACACCACACTATTTGCGTCGACTTCGATAAGTGTTTTCCTCTTCTTTGCCACCGCAAATCAATCTTACTTTCGCTACATTTTTTTCTAGATCCTTCGATCTCCAACTCTCAGTCCACGGTGAAGGTTGCTCCGCCCATGGCTTCCGATCTCGAACAGCGTGCCAAGGAGGCGTTCATGGACGACCACTTCGAGTTGGCCGTCGACCTCTACACCCAGGCCATCGCTCTCAACCCCCAGAACGCCGAGCTCTACTCCGACCGCGCCCAGGCCAACATCAAAGCCGGCAATCTCACTGGTACCCTCTTTTCCTCTTGTAATTTCGTGAATACCCGTTTCTTTTTTTTTCATGTTTGGTTCCCAAGAAAGCCCGAGAAAATACTCGATTGGATTTTCTAATCCTCTTTATCTGTTGTGGGTTTTTCTTGTTATCAGAGGCTGTTGCGGATGCGAACAAGGCAATTGAGTTCGATCCGTCATTGTACAAAGCGTATTTTCGAAAAGGGTGAGCTCGAATGCACAACACCGATAACCCGTAATTATATTTGTTGTTTTTGAGCACCTGTTTGTATTGGATACTGAAAAGAGTGTAACTTTTAATTGAAATTTTAGGTCTGTAATCTAATGGGGTGTTAAATTTTGCCTAAATCTTGCAACCATCAGCTCTGAAAATCTATAAAGGTCATGCTGATCCTCCGTTATCGTTGTGGATCTTTCGCCTTTTGCGAAAGGGAAAGGCTTATAATGCTAATTCTAAGTGTTTCGAAACTTTTGAGTTATGTTTTTGGCCAAAACCTTGGAGGGCTCATTTCTAGGGTATTGTGTAGTCCGTTCATGAAACTCGTTATGTATTGCATGTAGGGTTTTATAAGTTATGTTCTGCACTGGGAACAGTGTCATTGCTAATGTCACTGATTGTTTTACAATTTTTGTTCTTTGCTGTTGATGGCTACAGAATTGCCTGCATCAAGCTCGAGGAATATGAGACTGCAAAGGCGGCCCTGGAAACCGGTGCTCCTTTTGCCCCGCAGGAGACAAGATTTGCTAGTTTGATAAAAGAGTGTGATGAAAAAATTGCAGGTGCGTTGTTTGATTGTTACAAGTTTGCACCTTTTTAGGGATTCATGTAATGGCGGGCCTTTCTCACAATTAGATGTTTAGCTTTCTTATACAATGGATTGTTTTCCTGGTAACAGGGGCATCTGAGGAAATCATTATAATAGAAATTACTCGTTCTCATGTAGTTGATCATCTTTGTCTTATTTATACTGTTTCATGTCCAATCAGAGGAAACTGGTGTTCTACCAACGCATTCGGTGGAGGAAAACATTACAGAGAATGTTATACCTGCAAAAGATGTTGAGCCTGTGAGTCAACCTTCCAATCAGCTGACCGTAGCAACTGTCAAACCAAAATACAGGTTAGTCGAGATCAATATAATTTCTGTTGCCGAAGTTTTTTAGTTTCATATTTTTAAGGAGCATCACCAAAACATTCTGTTTGCAGTTTTTTGTTATTCCTTTTCATCTTTTTGTACTGTCTGTATTGAAGCTCCGAGATATCTATGCATGCTTGGGTAATACCCTCATATTTGCTTTTATCTATTGTATCCTTACTCCTTAGTCACTGAGATGCATGATTTGGTGGAAATTTTTTATGTAGGCATGAATTCTACCAGAAGCCAGAAGAAGTGGTTGTGACTATATTCGCCAAGGGCATACCTGCCAAAGATGTACATGTTGACTTTGGTGAACAAATAGTATGATTCTTATTGATTCAGTGCTTCTTTTTATTATTTGTTCGCAGTGATCTCATAGTTGTCTAGAACCTACATAGTAAAAAGGTTTTCTGGGTATTGTCAATTGTGTACAAGTTTTACGGCTGATGAATCACTTTTCTTGGTTGTTTCCAGCTAAGTGTTAGCATCGATGTTGCTGGTGAAGATACATATCATTTTCAACCTCGCTTATTTGGAAAGGTATTGCACCAATTCTATGTTGCTGAGGTTTTTCTTTTTGTTTGTAACAAGGATATATACAGAAAATTAAAGAAAAACACTGCATGCCCGCTTCCAATTTTTATTTTCAAATAATTGGCAGTATCGTATCCTTTGCATTTAATCTGGCCCCAGTAGTTGGTATCCTTTTGAGCCATTGGCTGATTTTATATATGCATTATAGATGGCTTATATTTTCAAATGAAAAATAACTGTGAGCTTTGGTGGTTGCGAACAGATAATACCTGAAAAATGCAGGTTCGACATTCTCTCCACCAAAGTTGAAATTCGCCTGGCTAAAGCTGAACCAATACATTGGACATCTCTTGAATTCAGCAAGGACAGCCTTGTTCCAGTAAGGGTCAGTGGCCCAGGTATGTTAATATGTTTGCAATCCTCTGATTCTAAAACTAGATTAGAAATTAGCTACTAAAAAGTGTTAACTGCCAACAGTTGTTGGAGCGACAAGACCATCCTACCCATCCTCAAAACCAAAAAAGGACTGGGATAAGCTTGAGGCTCAAGTAAAGAAGGAGGTTTGCTCGTAACCCAGTTAGTTGATTTGACATTATACTTGCATGTTTCACTTCACGATACTTACTCCGATGCGTTGTGATTCAGGAAAAAGAAGAGAAGCTTGATGGTGATGCAGCTCTGAACAAATTTTTCCAGGACATATACAAGGATGCTGATGAGGACACAAGAAGGGCCATGAGAAAATCTTTTGTAAGGCATTTTCGTATCTTGTATTTTGATATCCAGTAAAATTCATAATTCCGATCACCATGAAAGATTCTGGTGGAACCACCAGTCTTGGGATTAAAATCAGCTTACGTTATATTGACTTGCATATTGCATCGTTGTGTTTGTACTGCACAGGTGGAGTCAAACGGGACAGTGCTTTCGACAAACTGGAAAGAAGTGGGAAACAAAAAGGTTGAGGGAAGTGCTCCCGACGGCATGGAGATGAAGAAATGGGAGTTCTAGACTGTTGCTGAATTCTTGTACTAGTTGGAACTTGGATGATATGCTTTTTTGGCTTGTAACCTATTGGTGTTTGATTTTGTTGGTTGGACAGACAACGATTAGTTTCCAATTAGTCTTTGGCACTACTCTGGCTGTGTGGATGATGATTCTCTCTTTTGAAATCAGCCAGAATTGGTTTTTTCTCTCCTGTGTTTTGCTTGTGCGTTGTACTATCGAAACCGAACCTGTCTGGACGAATTTGAAGTGTTTAATACTTAATTACTTTGTTCTTGCCTTGATCATATTCCGGTTTTGCCGAGTCCGGCTTTAACTCGTGCGGTCGGCCAGTCCTCGGTGTGACGATGTGCGAAAGAGTGGTGCTATTCACGCTCTTTTTGTATCTCTTCATCTAGGGTTTTTATCGCGGTCGGTTCTTGAAATTAGCTGGAAAAGAAAATGGGTAAAGCGATTCAAACTTGGGTGTTGAGCGAGAGCGAAGAGCATCTTGCTTTAGCTAACTTGATTTGATGGTACAGCTAAACTTTTGATTAATCAAAAAAGAAAACTTGTCATCGTGAATATTTCTCTTTTGATACAATCAATCAATCAAGTGGTTAACATAAACAAGCAGTAGCAGTTGACGTTTTATCGTAGTGACGGATAACAACAATACCTATGTATTCTGGTACGAATTCGATTTGCACCGCTCATTTCTCTGTGACATTAATAATTTAACTTACTGTCGTTTGTAAAAGAAAACGTAAACAAGCAATACATATTTACAAAAAATTAAACTGAAGTTAAATTCTAAAGCATAGCATAAAACACAGCGTTCGACCCTCACGGACGAAAACGCTGCGTTTCACGATCTGATGGTTTCCTGCTACCTGTAAGTTCTGCAGTATCACTATCGTCCTCTCTAAAATCTGATCATTTTTTTTGTTTCTTTGGTCTGCGAGTGCGACGGCGAGTTCGGAAAATACGATCAATCAGTTTATTGGATTCCGATTTCGAAATTTGAAATCCAGCGAAGCAGGAATATCACCAAGAAATGCAATTCTTCGGAGGAACGGAGATAAGCCCGTCGCTGCCGGCGTCGACGGCGTCGGGGAACAACGGGCACATGATGTACGTATTCAACCGCAACGGCGTCTGCCTGCTCTACCGCGAGTGGAATCGGCCGCTCCATACCCTGAACCAGCAGCAGGATCACAAGCTGATGTTCGGGCTCCTCTTCTCCCTCAAGTCCCTCACCGCCAAGATGGACCCCACCACGCCGGACAAGGCCAACCTCGGCGTCCCTCAGCTCCCCGGCCAGGGCTGCTCCTTCCACAGCTTCCGCACCAACACCTACAAGCTCACTTTCATGGAGTCCCCTTCTGGCATTAAGGTTTTTTTTTTCTTCTCAATTTTTGCAAATCATTGGCATTCGGATCTAGAAATTGAGAAATATGGGTTTGGATTTTGATTGGAATTAAAGGTTTTGCTGATTCTGGTGGCAATTTGCTCGCACTAGATCTACCCCATTTAGCAATTTAGATTCTTGAACTTGAATTTGTGCTTAGCTTCGCAATTAGCGATTTCGATATGCGTCGTTGATTATGCCGAACTTCGTAATCTTATGATAATTCTTACTGCAAGTTTAATGTGCTAGAAAAAGCTTTTTAATTGATGTGCTTTGGTTACTGTTTCTGGTGTGCAGATTATATTGGTTACACATCCTAGAACTGGTGACTTGAGGGAGTCTTTGAAGTACATTTATAACTTGTATGTCGAGTATGTTGTGAAGAACCCGCTCTACACTCCCGGAACTCCGATCAGGTAACTGACTCTGTTCTCCTCATTATAACATAGTGAGCAATAATCTTCAGTTCTCACACGGAGAAGTTTTATGTGATAGGTCATAGATAATTATTCGTGTTATCACAGTGAGAAGTTTCATTGATAGCAATCCCTATTCCTTGCTACATGAATATAAATGAAACCTTTTTCATGTTTTCTTATCACGCTGATGCATCGCGTTGGGTTGGTCAAGTAAAAAATTTAGAAAGATGCAACTAATGGTGAAGAAAATGTGTCCTTAAATATTGTGTTGCGTGTCGATGTGTCTTGATATTCTGTATGTGCAACATGTCTATTTGAATTCTTTTGGTGGCTTAGGCATCGCAGATACTTCATTATTCCTGAATAGTTGACGTCTTGATACTAAAGCAATTTATTTTTCTGTCACACCACTAGAAAGGCTTTGTAGTATCTTGCGATTGCTTTTTTTTTTTTTTTAAGTGATTTCAATACAGGTTTCAACTGTTCTGTCACTGTGTGGTTATATACTTCATAAGGTTTTCACACAATCGGAAAAAGGTCTTTGAGTTGCAGAGTAATTGAGTAATTTTCCTTGTAGGTGTGAGCTATTCAACACAACTCTTGACCAATACGTCAGGAGCATTTCATAGAAGGAAAAGGGAAGTGCATTGGAAAATTTCACCTATATGTGTTGTGCTTGGATACTAAATCATGTCTAGGCTTCTTTTCTGCCCACATTTACTCTTACCCTGGACCGAAGCCAATGTACATTTGGGTTCATTCAGAACGTAGGTTATTGAATCTACCATGTAGAGGATATTTTCTGCAACTTGATTCTAAAAGTTTTACAATGAGATATGAGCGTACTTTTTCATCGTGTGGACTTGATGTGTTCAGTGTCATCATGTAGTGTCCTATTTGGTTATGACAAATTGATTTAATGCTTGGAAGCATGATTTGTTAATTGTCAGCAGTTACCGATTAATTTGTTTGGTTTTTCTTATCAATTTTAGTGTCTCTATGCCTCTTGCCGTAGGCTTCAATTAGTCTATCGGAATAGAACTCTGTAGTTTCCTGTTGTTTTTTTCGGATATCATGTATGTTGCGAACCAGTGTTTGACCTTTGTAGAAGATGCGGAATTGCGATGGTACTGTTATTAGTGATGAAACTGTAATCTTTTGGTATATTGTTAGTGTCTCCGGAGATGATTAGAAATATTATTCCCTTTCCTTTTGAGGTTTGCAGCTAACAAATTTATAAGATTAAGGATCCACAGGGCTGCAACTTCCTTTACCCATCGCCACCAATTGGCCGCTTGGTGGCCATGGTAGAACCAGGCAAGCTAGATCGACTCCATCTCTGCTAGACTGCATGCCACCCCCCACCCCCTCCCTGCGCAGGCACCACCTCGGCACCATCTCTTTCCCTTCCTCACCTCTTCTCCCAACCACGAAACACACTCATTATCAGCGGGGATAGATCAGATTGTCGCTGCACAGAATGGTTGAGCTAAACTTCATTTGGTGATCCTTGCTGGTATGACTGACTTTTTCCTAGCAAATTACCAAGTTTTTCTTATAGGTACCGCCATTATTTTGAGCAAATTTTATTTCTTGGTGAAGATGGAATGATTGAAATGGAAAAGATTGATTTATGGAGCAAATAATTATTCACAGCCGCAATGGGAGAGTTTAATTGCCATTCCATTCCGTGGAAGGGTTTTGTAATTCAGTTGATTAAGAGCATTCACTATTACTCGTGTTTTCGAGTTCGCTTCCTCCCCTCAAAAAATGTCATTGGTGTTTGGTAACGATTGGAATGGAAAAGGGAAACGACTATGACAAGATACAAGCGGGTATATTTCCGTGTTCCTACAGAAAATTAATGGCAATTGATATGTGACAAATGAGTTTTATTAGCAACTTACAGCGTTCGGGGTTCAAATCCTTCCTCTTCTCATCATTTTAGTGTAGTAATATCGCTTGTACTAGAAAAAAATGGTGAGCTTAGTGTGCCACGTTTTGGTGTGGGAAACAGATGCCAAAAAAAAAAAAAAATGCAACAAGGTGCAAAACTCAGTAATGTGCAAGGGTACCACCAATCCAATAGCTTCAATTTCACAAGTGAATGACCAAAAGAACAGAAGAAAGAAAGCAAGTGGAAACTGAAAGCTATGAATGTTCTAATGCATTGGCATCTACAAACTTTGCAGCAAGGGAAACAAAATCCGGCTGTTGGGGAGAGGGGCCGAGGGGCGTCCTCGGTCAAGTTTTGCTTCCAAATTTCGATTCTAGACCGCCTCTCCGATCCTTCCTTCTTCTCTGTCGTCCTTTCGGAGTCGGAACCAAGGAGACTTTCAAGTGATGTTAACATATTCCTTCTTCCGTTGTCCGATTAGGCTTCTAAATGAAAGCATATGTACATGTACATGAATATTTTTGAGTGACAACATAGTTTACCGACCACCACTTGACTGACTCAAAACTCACAAGGATATATGGCTTATTGATTGAATAGAAACTTGAAGGGTTAGCAAATTAGACGTTTCTCGCTTGTTTTTATACGGAAGAACAGAAAACCCATGTGATGTCTTTGTTTTTGTTGCGTGAAATTGTTGAATTGTATTACATAGTGGCCCACATGTAGCTTGTGATAGGAAAACACTAAGTTCGCACTATTTGTTTTTTTTCATGATAAATCGATAAATTTGATGTAACTGAGGGACTGAGAAGCATGTTTTGTTAAATACATTAAGTTGCGGGTGATGGATTGTTTTGATAGGACTTTTCTCTTCATGTAGGTTTTCACTTTGTGATTTTTAAATAAACATACGACAAATAATTAGATGTATGCTGAGCATACATCATAGTTATAATGGGTAGTAAAAATGCTCTCGATCATTTGATTTTCTGACAAACAATAATTATGTGACTTGGGGACCGTGAACAATCATATTGTGAAATATTGGCCATAACGCAGGTGGCAACAAATATTGCTAATGGTAGTACTAATGTAATTTTCACTTGCAATGAAGTGGTCCCGCTGCCTATCGTGCGTTGCCAGTTATTGTAGGAGTTGGTGGCTAATAGGAGTTGGACGCGCTTTAATATCAACGCACGCATACTCCTCATTTCTCCATGCGTCCTCCACCAAAATAACAAATTGGAATTTCTCACCAATTGTACTTTGTTTTGAATTTTTTCATTAGAAACTGCTTACTCCAAAAACAGGGTTGCATTGAAGTAAATTCAAACATAGAATTCAATTTCTCTTCCAATATTAAATAGTGTTCAAACACTCACTCACCTCCAACCGTGATCTAAGGGTGACAATGCTTGCCTGTGTGCAGTTGGTGGCTGGTGGCAAGAGTTAGATGCACTCTAAAATTTTCAGATGCATACTCCTCAGTCAACTTAGTCCATTCACCAATATCACTGATATGATTAGATGGAATTAGATCCTCTTTGTGGTAATGTCTCGGGATTTTACTGACCGAACAATATAGGTAGTTGGATTTTGATCAAACGGCTACAAACAGGGAGTCTCTCTAAAAGTTATAATAATTCTAATCGTTTGATCAAAATCCGACAGTCCCATATTGTCCGGTAAGTAGGATCCCGAGGCATTACCTCGGAGAGGATCCAATTCCTGGTTAGATATCCTCATGAATTGTAATTTTCTTTTAAATATTTGCATTATAAACTGTTTGACGCTGAAACCAAATCTCTCCTTCAAAATTAAATAGTATTTGAACTCTCTCTTTCCAACATTATTAGAATAGAATATAACTTCTAATAAAAAAACTGTTAGTGAAATATTTTTTTTTTAAGTACATTGATATTTTTAAACTAGAGGGAAAAGAAGTTCGGTTAAGTTATATAATAGGGCAGTCTAATTTGGTATTGAATTCGTCATCCACTGAGATTCGAACATAAGATCTCTCACTTCTAAGTGAATAGGAATATCACAAGCACAATTCAAATTTGGTAATCCTCAAAACCTGAAACTGTTAGTGAATTTTATATCATAAGCACAATTCAAATTGCCTTCCCTGGTAGGATTAGTTTTTTAAGTGGAAAAAAGACAATTCATAATTTCATATGGGTCGAGATCCTCTTCGAATCCTCACAATTTAGCTGTTTATCGTTTATCGTGCGATCAGTTTTAGTTAGATACTATTTATGTTTAATTTTATATAAAAAATTCAAAATATTTTTTTACCGCATAATATATGATAAACAGCTAAAGTGTAAGAATTCCTAAGATCCTCACAATTTAAATCCGAATACCATTCATATGGACATAAACCAAGTTACCCCGTAATTTAAAATTCTAAAAATGAAATAAAACATTTATGATAATTACAAAAATGTATGCACTTGTCATCTTGATTTTCCAATAATAAAAAATTGACAGATAATAATTTTTTATTTCTTATTTTTATCAACAAAAAGTGATGAGCGATAAGGAAGAACCGAAGAAAGTATATAAGAACAGTTGTGATAAGGGAGCGCAGCTGCAAAACCCTCACAGAGACTGAGAGCAATGGAGGAAGTAGCTATCGTTTTATATCCATCACCGCCGATTGGCCACTTGGTCTCCATGGTAGAGCTAGGCAAGCTCATACTCACCCACCACCCTTCTCTGTGCATCCACATCCTCATCACCACCCCGCCCTACCGGGCCGACGACACCGCCTCATACATCACCTCCGTCTCCGCTACCATCCCTTCCATCATCTTCCACCACCTCCCCACCATCTCTCTCCCTCCCTCCCTCGCCTCCTCCCCCAACCACGAAACCCTAACCTTCGAAGTCCTACGCCTCAACAACCCTTACGTCCACCAAGCCCTCCTCTCCATCTCCCACAACTTCTCCATCAAAGCTTTTGTCATGGACTTCTTCTGCGCTCTCGGGCTCTCCGTTGCCACGGACCTGAGCATCCCCAGCTACATCTTCTACACATCCGGCGCCGCCACCCTCGCCAGCTTCCTTTACTTCCCCACCATTCACAACAATACTGACAAAAGCCTCAAAGACCTAAATACCCTAATCAACATTCCAGGAGTCCCGCCGATTCCTTCCTCCGATATGCCGAAACCGATTCTTGAACGAAACGACAAGGCGTACGAACATTTCCTAGAAAACTCAAAGCAGTTCCCCAAATCCGCTGGGATTATCATAAACACGTTCGAATCTCTCGAACCTAGAGCTCTCAAAGCAATATCGGACGGTCTGTGCTTGCCCGAGGACGTTCCCACGCCGCCGATCTATCCCATTGGACCGCTGATTGTTTCCCACGGCGGTGGAGGCCGCGAGGTCGAGTGTTTGAAATGGCTGGACTCACAGCCAAGTGGAAGCGTGGTGTTCCTCTGTTTTGGGAGCTTGGGATTGTTTTCAAAGGAGCAGTTGAAGGAAATTGCAATGGGTTTGGAGAATAGCGGGCAGAGATTTTTGTGGGTGGTCCGTAATCCGCCAGCCCAAAATCAAATTGGGGTGGCCATTACGGATCAGTCCGATCCAGAATTGAAATCTTTGCTTTCCGATGGATTCTTGGATCGGACCAAAGATCGCGGTCTCGTGGTCAAGACGTGGGCCCCGCAAGTGGCGGTGTTGAATCACGACTCGGTGGGTGGGTTTGTGAGTCATTGCGGATGGAACTCGGTGTTGGAATCGGTGTGTGCTGGGGTGCCGATGGTGGCTTGGCCACTCTACGCCGAGCAGAGATTCAACCGGGTGGTTTTGGTGGAGGAGATTAAAATTGCATTGCCAATGAACGAGTCGGAAGACGGGTTTGTGAGTGCGGCAGAGGTGGAGAAGCGAGTTATCGAGTTGATGGACTCGTCCGAGGGCGAGTCGATTAGGAAGCGTACGAAGGCTTTTCAGAACGAAGCCCATGCAGCGTTGGATGAGGGCGGGTCGTCTCGGGTTGCATTGACTAAACTACTTGAACTATGGAGCCAAACCGGTTAGAGTCCGACCGGGTTTATGACTTTGTAATTCCGGCCATGATTTTCTTCTTGTTCAATTTTATTAACGGAATCTTCAATTACAAATTATCAATAAGATTCATGTCAATAATTACAACGATTAATAGTATTTCCGACAATGATTTTCCATTTTTTTAAGTTAATTTGATCTGCAACATGTTATTTTAATTGTGTTAGATGAATTCTCAAAAGAATCAAGCTTCGTTGATGAAAAAAGAGTTGCAAGTACGATTGAAACCAATAACAAATGAACACGTATCTGAATAATTAAAATAAAAAATAAAAATTTTTTTATTTATAATTGAATTTCAGCCGAACTTGTTGCCATTCTTTTAACAGCAAAGTTTGGTGTTTCTTAAAAACAAAGGCATTCATTTAATTCCTCTCAGTCCACAAAGGAAGATTCATATTGTTCTGTCACCACATATCTTAAAATGACGTAAGCCATTGCGTCAACAAATTCCTCGATGGCAGACATCTATAATTGGAAATTTTACGTTTGGGACATATTTTGGTGTCGTTTTGCCAAACCAGTCAAAATAAGTATGATTTAAAAATTAGGGTAAATCTCAGTTTACTACCTTCAAGTTTCGTGGTTTTCAACATTTAGTACATGAAATTTTTTTCATCCCAGAGTCATATCTAAAGTCTTAATTTTGAGACAGTCTCATACATCCGTTAGTTTGGTTGTTAAGTCTCCCGTTAACTAATTACATGACGCCTATGTGGACGATGACGGGACGTCACGAGTCTTTAAAAAAATTAAAAAATTAATTTATATATATATAACCAGCACCCGGAACCTTAGAACGCCTTCGTCTTCCCCACCGAAACCCCTTCGTCATCATCCAGCCCTCCTCCACCCAAGCCTCCGCCGTCACCAGACATCCTGATCTGCTCGGTGTGGTCCGATAACCTTGAGTTCGAGACGATTAACCTTTGATTTCCATGGACACCGAATTCTCGGGCATCGTGGTTCGACCCAACTCTAACGATCCCAATTTCTACCATCTCGAGCTCGCCGCGCACTACCTCATGCTCAAGGCCAACGTCGACGGCCTCAATCTGATTAGGTCGGCCTCACCCTCTCGAACGATAGCAGAAATCTACCGGATTTGGGGACCAAGAATCTGTACATATGGGAATTCAATTTTTGGGACTTCGACGTCGCGCAGGACGCCCACGCGCACGACTTGGTCGAGTTACTTCGCCGCTAGGGCATCAATTTCGAACAGAACGGAATTTCTCGTTGGACTCGATCCGGTTCGCAGAGCTGATGATGTCATCGGGGCTCGTCTGCAACGACGCCATGGAGGGTTCTGACTTCTGTTTTTTTTTTTTTTTTTTTTTTAATACTTTTATTTAATTAAATTTTTTTTAATAACACGTGGTGCCCAGTCATCGTCCACAAGGATGCCACATTATCAGTTAACGAAAGACTTAACAATTAGACTAACAGATGTACAAGACTGTCACAAAATTAACACTTTAGGTATGACTTTAGGACGAAAAAAACTTCATGTACCAAATGTTGAAAACCACGAAACTTGAGGGTAGTAAACTGAAATTTACCCTAAAAACTATTTACAACGGTTTACTGAATATTTAATTAGCTTTATATAACGTTATTCCGGCACCGATAGACATGAAGGTTATTCTTTTTGCATGGACCTACCTAGTATATATGTTTTCTTGCCCATTCTGCAGAAGATAAAAAGAAAATGAAAAATCTCCAGTAATGGTTTTATAATAACGTGCATTATTGAAACATAGTTGTAGGATTGTGGTGTACGTACGTCCACTATCCTCGCAGCATATGCCAAATAACCTTATCATGTATCATTATTGTGCTTTGTTTCCTACCTTAGCGATATTTGAGAGTTCGTTTGGATGTGTTTTTAAAATGATTAAAAATGTTTTTATGAAAGTACTTTTGAAACTAATCTTAATACAAATGTGAGCAAATCTTGAAAAATAATTTTTTAAATGTTTCCTGCAAGAAGCACCAAAAAGCAATTGAAATGCTTTTGGAACTCAAATACACTTTCATCAACAGTATTTTTAGTCATTTTAAAAGCACCTTTAAACGAGCCCTTAAATTGTTCAAATTTCTAAATGAATTTGAACAATAGTGTACAAAATCAGGAACAATCCTCTCACTAAATGACCTACTCCATATCTGCTACTCACATATTACGTACATTTATTGAGTACAGATTATAAGAAAAAATAAAAACAAAAGGGAGCTGCAAATATTGACTTAGTTATAAGAGACAAGATGAAAGACCTAGATACACTTATCTCGTACGTCTCTTCTGATACACTTATCTCGTACGTCTCAAAATTCTACGTGAGACTGTAAGAGCTTTCTATAAAAGCTCTACCAGTTTCCATAAGAGAGAGATGAGAAGATCATCAAGAAGCAATTAGAACAACTTGGAACACTCACAAAATCAACACAAATCTCATACACACACACACACACTAGCCAGTGATTTCACTGTCGGTTGAGAATTTTGAGATCCAGAATAACTGAGAAACTTGTAATGCCAGTTCTGGAAGCAATGATTTTGACCTGATTTGCTGATCTCCATAAATATATATATATATATATATATATATATGCAAAAATATTCACCAAGCACATTGCATGTAACCAGAATAAATTAGATGTATCACGATCAATCTCTTCATCTTCTATATATGAAAAGTTAGACCAAGCTCACCCGAAAAATACTCCAAAGTATCAATGGAGGCTATAGTTTTATACCCATCACCGGCAATAGGCCACTTGGTCACCATGGTGGAGCTTGGCAAACTCATACTTACAACTCGCCCTCCAAATTCTATATCCATCCACATTCTCATCACCACTCCCCCATATAGGGTGGATGATACTGCTTCGTATATCGCCTCTGTCTCTTTCGATTCCATTATCTTCCACCATCTCCCCGCCATCTCACTCCCTCCCTGCGCCACTTCCTCAGTGCCCGCACACGAAACCTTAATCTGTGACGTCCTCCGCCTCAGCAACCCTAATGTCCATAATTCTCTCCTTTCCATCATCAACAAAAACTACAAGATTCAATCCTTTGTCATGGACATCTTCTGCTCTCCTGCGCTTTCTGTCGTCACCAAACTCAACATCCCTGGTTATTTCCTCTTCACCTCTGGCGCAGCCTGCCTCGCCTGCGCCCTCTACCTTCCCACCATTCACAAAACCATAGACAAAAGCATAAAAGACTTAAATACCCTTCCCACCATCCCGGGATCACCACCTATCCCATCTTCAGATATGCCGAAGCCCCTTCGAGATCGTAACAATATAGTTTACGACTCCTTTGTCGAAAACTCAATCGAGTTGACCAAATCAGCCGGCATTATAGTAAACACCTTCGAACGGCTCGAGCCGAGAGCCGTTAAAGAAATATCAGACGGACTGTGTGTGCCGGATGGCCCCACGCCGCCTGTCTACTGCATCGGACCGCTGATAGTAGGCGTTGCGTACAACCAAAGAGCTGCAGGAATGCACACAGGAGATGATAACGTGTCCAAGTGTCTGACGTGGCTGGACTCGCAGCCACTTGGCAGCGTGGTGTTTCTATGTTTTGGAAGCCTAGGGTTGTTCAGTAAAGAGCAGCTGAAGGAAATAGCGTTAGGGTTGGAGAGGAGTGGGCATAGGTTTTTGTGGGTGGTGCGAAATCCTCCTAATTCTCAAAACGGTCAAACCGTTGACCTTACGGTTCAAGCCGGACCGGATTTGGAATCTTTGCTTCCGGATGGATTTTTGGGTCGGATCAAAGACAGGGGTCTTGTGGTGAAGATGTGGGCACCACAAGTGGCGGTGTTGAACCATGACTCGGTAGGAGGGTTTGTTACTCACTGCGGGTGGAACTCGGTGTTGGAGGCGGTGTGCGCGGGGGTGCCGATGGTTGCTTGGCCGCTGTATGCGGAGCAAAGGTTTAATAGGGTTGTGCTGGTGGAGGAGATCAAGATTGCTTTGCCGATGGACGATTCGAAAGACGGGTTTGTGAGTGCAGCTGAGGTGGAGAAACGAGTTACTGAATTGATGAACTCGGACTCGATGGAAGGTAATTCCATCAGGGCGAGGGCCAAGGATATACAAATTGAAGCACGTGCTGCATTGAGTGAGAGCGGGACGTCTAGGGTTGCATTAACTAGACTCCTAAAGTCGTGGAACCAATCATAGGAGATTTTTTTTTTTTTTCGTTTTGAAAATCACAAAAATATTAGGGCAAAAACTATTATTCTTACAACTTATTTGTAGAAAGATAAACTCACATGCGTTGGCTGGACACTATTTCCATTAGAGATGATACAAATTATTGTATAAATAAATGGTAAGTGTAGTATTACGTATAAAATGTAGCTAGCCATACGTTAAGAGATTATATACATTATTGTGTATTTCATGAAACAACAAAGCAAGTTGAGGACTAGAAGATCGTAGCTCAATTCTGATAGATTACATCAATTTTTGCAAGCCGAAATTAATGTCATTTTCCATTCAGTACTTGGACGGAAAGTGTCGAACCGAAAATGCAGTTGGATGCTTGCAAAACTAATGTCATCTTCCATTCAGTGATTGGAGGGTAAAGTGTGGAAAGGAAAGTGCAGTTGGATGTTGTACGTATTTTCCAAAAGAATGGTATAGTTGGTTGATAATTTATATCAAACGCCTCTATACATACCAAAGCAACTCCCTATTGATTTCACTACTTTCTCTCTTGCCATCCAAAAATCTCTCATTCCTCAGTGTAAAAATATGGTGGATGTAATATTTTTTTTTTTTATTAATAAGGGAGATAATGGATTAGGCGAGTCAAGCAACACATAAGGCTTGGTTGTCGGACTAAAATAGTAAAAACCTTACTCTCTAAACCCGCACAATGCGGAAAGAAAGAATCAAGCCCCAGGATTAGCTGTCAACTACAAGTAGGCTACTTTCTTCCCGCTCAGAGCGATGAAAAAGGGCTAACTCCTTGATAGAACGACCCCCCATCACAATCTTTGTTTCCACCAGGCCAACCACCACGGTCGCCACCACAAAACTTGTTACAGACTCCAAGACTCAACTAACAACATACGTACTTGGCAAATAAATAAAA